GTCCCCTCCTCCCATATGGATTCTGACATACCATGCCGCCTGGAGTCAAGATAGGAACTGGGTGTTCCACACTGCTCTCTTTATGCAGTCCGCCCTGACCTTACGGGATACATTCCTCCTGAGATTCTTTCAGTCGGCAAGGAGGCTTAAAACAGTTTTAACTTGATAGTATTCTGCTCTCCCATTATGATATTTCTGTTCTGTAGATCAGCCAGGAAGAGCTCCAAAGGACCTAAATGGACTACTCACATGAGTATGGTTTTCCGGACTGGGCCGAAAGAAAGGAATCACAGTGCTTATATGTGATTATCAGAACTTTTTATAACTGATCTAAATTAAGGCAAAATAAAACATTTTTCTCTCAAACTCTTCCAATATGAATAATTTTCTACTGCATTAATTTTGAACGGCTCCACTGATTTTTTTTTAATTGCCATAGTAGTTGAAGTTGTTCCATCTAGTGGATCTTTACCGTATTGCAATGCACACGCAGGCCACTTGTTAAATCTATTTTTCTGTCAAATAAATATATATATATATATATTTAAATGATCAATTTACATAAACAGCATTTTAACGTAATGCATCAATGTTCTAAAACTTTAGAAGCCTAAATGTTTTTGAATTAATTATTTTTGCAAATTCAAAGCATAATCTATGCGAACTTCACCACTTTGTACTGATGTGTTTCAGAAACTTTTAGAAAAGCAAGAGAAAAATAGAAAGCTGTGTTATTTGGACCATTTCATTTTTGTTCTAAATGGAAATATCTGATGCTAATTAAATCAGAAGCATTTCTTAACTTAAAAAATGAACATCAATGATGGTTCTTGTTCATAATAAAAAAAATTGACTTGCGTATACAAACTGAATTACAGACAACCTGTATTGAAAGGGATTTAATACCCAGGTGGAAAGCAATTTAATAACTTGTTTTCATTAAGGTAATGATATAATTGTTGCCCAACCTACTAACCTTTTTCATGAAAGAATGGAGATAGGTAATAATTAGGATTTGATGTAGCCCTTTGCAAATTTTCCAATTATCATGGACAGTGATGTGTGAGCCCTTTAAAATGTGAGCAGAAATAATAAGAATGGAAAAGGTATATTATATATAAAGAATATTAATCAATTAAATATAAATCAGTTTGAATTATTTTAAACCTCTAATAGCCATATGCATGATTCCACAACTGAATTCTGTTGTATGATTACACACCTTGCTATTTTAAATCTGTTATGTAAGTAGGACTCACTGCAGATAAAGAATTGAATCAATGGAATTGCAATAAACAGTGCATCACTGATTAGCAGTGTGTGACATCAAGCAAAAAAATGGTGGTGTTCTACAATCAAGCTGGACACTTAGTATGCCCACTGTTTGGCACACCCACTATATAACTCAACACCCAAATCAAATTAAAAGAAGATGACAACACCAGCATCAGTAAGCTGCTGGTGAAATTGGCGGGGTTTTTTAGGGTAATGATATAACGATATATAGAATTAGTGCTAGAACAAATGGTGTTGATTCTAATGAGTACCATCAACACTCACTGACTTAAGCTGCATTGAAGATTCTCATTTTCCTGTGTTTCCCTTCTTTCACTTTCAGTGATGTTGATGTTATGCAGCTGAATTAATGTAAGCATTGGTAATATCTCTGGACAAGGCTGTAGACATATTTATCTTCCTATGGGAAGTCAACGGGAGTTGAGGGTGACCAGCATTTTATGATACAAGGCCTGCTAGTAACCTTAGAGTGAGTGTCTTCAAGAACAAATGTATCTATAGATTATGCCATTGGTATTATCAATAGTCATGCTGACTCAAGACCCTGAAAACCAAGCAGTACTGAACTTGAAAGAAGTAATGAAAATACATATTAGGGCATACTGACGTACAAGTAAAGAACACGGACTATGACACTATATGATTCATAATTGTAGTGGGGCAGCTGCCCCACTCCATGAGGAAAAGGGCTAGAACAAGCCAGAGAGGCTGCGCAGACCAGCAGCCAATCAGCAAGAGCCTGTGGAGAGCCAATCGGGACAAAGATAGAGGCAGCCAATCAGGGCCAGGCTGGGCCCTATATAAAGGCTACCTAGCAAAGGGGAGGTAGTCTCTCCCTAACTAGCAAGGGAGGAGGACTGGCTCCTGAGGTAAGGAGGTGGTACCTTGGATAGAGCAGTGTTGGGCAGGCTTGGGGGGAAGCAAAGGAGGGCTCTGGCTCCTGCTAAAAAGGGTTGAGAAGGTGCATGGGGCCAAAGGGGAAGTGGCCCAGGGAAGATAGGCAGACAAGAGGAGAGCGAAGGAGGGCAGAGAGAGGCTGCCACCAGAGGGTCCCTGAGTCGGGACCCAGAGTAGTGGGTGGGCCTGGGTCCCCCTCTTACACTGCACCTGGCCACAGAGGAGTGTGGCTGAGACAGACTGCCCTGAGGTGAGGGCTAGACTTTGGGGTTGTGGTTGGCCACTGAGGCAGGTGCAAGATGAAGAACTGTTAACTCCCCACTCCCCTGCCCTGAAAGGGGATGAGACTGGAGTAGTGGGCACTGCTGGAGGGCAGTGTCCTGAAGAGGATGCTACCAAGCGGGGAGCAATGCAGGTCCCAAACTAGCAGAGCAGACAACAGGTGAGACATGATGCGCAGAGGGTGCTCCACAGCTGATGATCTAATTCCTGGAGCAATCAGCTGGAGGTGCCAGTGGTGGTGAGTCATAACCCTGTTACAATAATCATTAATGAAGTTACTTCCAATATTGTGCACCTTGGCAATGTGGTCTGGCAATGTTCCCTTGCTGTTGTATTTGCAAAAGAACATTTGCAAGTCCTACAGAAGACTCCATTATAATAAAGTAAAACACATGCAGTATTTGCAGGCATTACAGCTACTATTAGCCAAACCCAGCTGTAAAGTTGATAACAAAAAAACTGCAGTAAAATTAGCAAATTATCAACATAATCAAATGCTCTTCTCCATATTTTTCCATATATAGGTGAAGACATTGGTCCAGAAAAATGGCTCAATTAACTTTCAAGCCTTTTAAAAATACTATTAAATAAGTACATACTTGGATATGATGCTTAAGTATGAAAAGCCCTGTATATTGTGAGTACTATGGACTCTCATTCAGTTAAGGTATTTTTATTCATTCACCATATCTATCAACAGAGAGCAGGGAGAGTCAGTCAAGATTTCTCATGTATCCTCATCAGCACAACAATCCAGCTGCAGAATAAGCACAGCCTAGTTTTATTTATGACTGACAGAGGAAGTATGAGCAGTTCAAAAGCACAGGCCTGGAAGTCTAGATTCTATTCATTTTCCCTTAAACTTGTTTAAAAATATATTAAATATAAATTATGGAAAAGGGTAGTTTAGTAAAGTTATATCACCCTAATTTATCTTAATGTAGAAAATATTTATAACTTTTTACATAAAGATATCATCCTAAATTCATTCTGCGATGAGGAGAAAAATGAAAATTATAGGGAAAACACTGACACAATCAGGAATTAAGTTAAGCATTAACCCCTTTGTACACATGGTTCCCAACTCTGAAGAGTCCTATGCCAAGAAAAGAGACAGAAAAACATAATGTTTAAAATGTTGTTAAAACTGTGGGGGAAGATAGAATGGCCCAAAAACTTATAATGGGCTTCAGTGTCTGTGCTAGACATAAGCAGAATAAGCAATTGCTTAGGGCCTCCAATAATTCAAGGGGGCCCCTTATAGAATATTAGGGTTGGAAGAGACCTCAGGAGGCCATCTAGTCCAACCCCCTACTCAAAGCAGGACCAACACCAACTAAATCATCCCAGCCAGGGCTTTGTCAAGCTGGGCCTTAAAAACCACTAAGGATGGAGATTCCACCACCTCCCTAGGTAACCCATTCCACTGCTTCACCACCCTCCTAGTGAAATAGTGTTTCCTAATATCCAACCTAGACCTCCCCCACTGCAACTTGAGACCACTGCTCCTTGTTCTGTCATCTGCCACTGCTGAGCTCTGTCCTCTTGGGAACCCCCCTTCAGGTAGTTGAAGGCTGCTATCAAATCCCCCCTCACTTTTCTCTTCTGCAGACTAAATAACCCCAGTTCCCTCAGCCTCTCCTCATAAGTCATGTGCTCCAGCCCCCCAATCATTCTCATTACCCTCTGCTGGACTCTCTCCAATTTGTCCACATCCCTTCTGTAGTGGAGGGACCAAAACTGGCCGCCATACTCCGGGTGGGGCCTCACCAGTGCCGAATTGAGGAAGTATTTATTCCCCTCTATCTACTGGCAATGCTCCTACTCATACAGCCCAATATGCCCTTGGCCTTCTTGGCAATAAGGGCACATGGCTGACTCACATCCAGCTTCTCGTCCACTGTCATCCCCAAGTCCCTTTCTGGAGCAGCTGGGGCGAACCCACAACATCCAGAGCGCTAAAGGCTTATTCCCCTTGTCCCTCACTGTTCCTGCCCCCACAGCTCCCCTCCACCCCATCCCTCCTTGCCCCAATTCAAACCCCCGCACGCCCCCTCACGCTGTCCCCGGCCCTCCTGCGCTTCCCCACTCAACCCGCCCCCATTCTACTCGCCCACCTCCCCGCAATCCGTCCCCCCCGTAAGACCCTCTCGTCTCGCGGGGTCTGCTCCTCGCGCTACCCCGCCCGCCCCTCCGCACACAACGCCCCGCCCTCTGGGCGGGCTGAGCCGCCGCACGCGCCTCTCTACGGAGGGGAAGCGCCACGACGTCAGCGGCTGCGCTCGCGCGTTGCGTCCCTGCTTCTAGGCCCGAGCTGAGGGGCCCTGGCCAGGATGGTGCGGGGGAGCCGCGCGCTGCTCCGGAAGGTCAGCGCGCCGCGTGCCCTGTGGCGGCCGCGGGGAGGGGACAGTCCGCGGCCGGAGTCTGGGGCGGCAGCTCCGCGTGTGAGCGGGGCTGGGGGTGGCGAAGATGAGCAGCCTCCGGCGTGGGAAAGGGTCTGGCCCGACGGGCCACGTTGGGACATCCCACGCTTTGCTCCCCCCCCCCCCCCCAGCAATAGCACGCAGCTGGCTCCCGTCGTCCTGCCCAGTGCCCGGTTTGCTGGGGAGCACCCAGAGCCTGCGGCCGGGCTTCGATGGGCTCAGCGTTGCATTTACAAATCCTCCCGGCGCTAGGGCTAGGAGAGCAGGACTTGCTAGCAGGCCTTGGCAAGCCCCCGCCAGTTCCTTCTCACAACGTGCCCTGGAGCAGGGGAGGTAACTCAAGCATGAGTTTCCTGAAGTATTTTTTCACACTTAGAAGGATAGGTTTCAGAGTAACAGCCGTGTTAGTCTGTATTCGCAAAAAGAAAAGGAGTACTTGTGGCACCTTAGAGACTAACCAATTTATTTGAGCATGAGCTTTCCTGAGCTACAGCTCAGGAGTGAGCTACAGCTGAGGAAAGCTCATGCTCAAATAAATTGGTTAGTCTCTAAGGTGCCACAAGTACTCCTTTTCTACTTAAAAGGATAATGCCATCTTGCCGGGGCTGGTGCTTAGGAGCTTACTAACAGTGTATGTGTGAAAGGCAGGTGGGGTAAATATGAAACACCAATTTAACACTTCTTATGTTGTTAGTATGGCAACTTTATAGATGATCTAAGAATCTATGTGAAAGGAGGAACTGGTGGAATGGGGCATCCTCGCTTGGGTGGAGAAGGAGGGAGAGGTGGTGATGTCTGGCTTATGGCCAAAGAAAAAACTACCTTAAAGAGAATTAAAGACAGATTTCCCCAGAAACGCTTTGTAGCTGGAGCAGGAGTCAACAGTAGGTAAGGACATATTGTGACCTGATTTATATTGTTGAACATCTTTAACCTGAAAGAAAAATATCCCTTAAGACCTTTTTACTGTCTAACTTTTTTATAGTGTCCGTGCACTGAAAGGTGAAAAGGGAACAGATTGTGAAGTTGATGTGCCTTTGGGAATTTCAGTTACTTCCTGTGATGGGAAACAGATTGGTAAAAACCTTTTGCTTTTCCTTTATTTTGAGATAGCAGAAAATAAGGTAGTTTGACACATCGTTTGCTGGGTGTACTCTCTTCACACCAAAGGCTCTTGTGAGATGTTTCATCTTTAAGACAAAATAGAAGGATTTGTTTGTTGAGACAAATGTGGGGAGACAGAATCACATGCAGGAGACTTCTGATGTTAGAGGCTCATTCCAAAAGCATAATTATAACTAATTTGTATCTCCAGATATAGTACCAGGAACATGTTCCCACAACAAGATTTAAAGGCTGGAAGCCAGGTTGGTTTTATAGTGAGCCACTGAATTACTCCGTGACCTTGGAAAGGTTACTTGTCCACTTTGTAACTCTCAGTTATTTGAACTATAAAACTGGCCGAGTTTCAGCATCTCAGGGATTACCCATGATGGTAATTGTGTTGAAAGTAACTACTGTGTCTAGAACAGTGGAAAGAATTTCAGATTATCTGTGCAAGGCTCCTGAAATGGCCCTTTCTCAAATTATAACCTTGAAGTTGGAGAGTGCTCTCCTTTTTGTAGTTTTCAGAGTTATTTTTTTAGTAATAAAAATGATTTTTATTTATTGAATACTTCCTTTGTTTAAGTGTTAAGCAGGATTAAAGTATGATGTAGGTAAGGTTGTATCAGTAAGTATTTTTGTAAATTATATATATTATGCTAGTGTTTAACTACAATTCTAAAATATGGTAATGATAGGTGGTGACATCACAGCAGGAATCTTAATGGAAGAGCCTGTAATATCTAATGAGTTTGGTGGTTAAAACAGGCTGTGTAATTCTCAAGTTTAAAGTATTTGGTTAACAAGCTATTATAGCCATGGCTAAAAATATCAAAACTACTGATACATGTGGGTTTAACCCACATCCAACTACATGATACAATGTGGTGATGTTGACCACTTAAAACTAATACTTTGGGAGATCTAGTATATTGAGCTTACATGTGATTAGTGTTACTTTCTTTTTGAAATCACGTGCTTGTTAGTATCAACTACCATTTTGACCATACTGTGTATTCATTTTCGAGGGATAACAACTCCAAAGAGAAACTCTACTTCATGTAGTTATTTGGTGTTAGGACTTGAAATGTCTGACTCTTGGCAGAGACCTGCACCAAGCCCAAGGGGTTTATATAGAAACTAGTGGAAAGTCTCTTCTTTCATTGACAGCAGGTCTACCTGGTAATGGAGAATCTTAACTGTTGCACAACAGCTATATTTTCTGACTAGTTTCAGAGTAACAGCCGTGTTAGTCTGTATTCGCAAAAAGAAAAGGAGTACTTGTGGCACCTTAGAGACTAACCAATTTATTTGAGCATAAGCTTTCGTGAGCTACAGCTCACTTCATCGGATGCATACTGTGGAAAGTTTAGAAGATCTTATTATATACACACAAAGCATGAAACAATACCTCCTCCCACCCCACTCTCCTGCTGGTAATAGCTTATCTAAAGTGACCGCTCTCCTTACAATGTGTATGATAATCAAGGTGGGCCATTTCCAGCACAAATCCAGAGTTTAACAAGAATGTCTGGGGGGTGAGGGGGGGGTAGGAAAAAACAAGGGAAAATAGGCTACCTTGCATAATGACTAAGCCACTCCCAGTCTCTATTCAAGCCTAAGTTAATTGTATCCAATTTGCAAATGAATTCCAATTCAGCAGTTTCTCGCTGGAGTCTGGATTTGAAGTTTTTTTTGTTGTAAAATAGCGACTTTCATGTCTGTAATCGTGTGACCAGAGAGATTGAAGTGTTCTCCGACTGGTTTATGAATGTTATAATTCTTGACATCTGATTTGTGTCCATTTACTCTTTTACGTAGAGACTGTCCAGTTTGACCAATGTACATGGCAGAGGGGCATTGCTGGCACATGATGGCATATATCACATTGGTGGATGTGCAGGTGAATGAGCCTCTGATAGTGTGGCTGATGTTATTAGGCCCTGTGATGGTGTCCCCTGAATAGATTCCAGCGAGAAACTGCTGAATTGGAATTCATTTGCAAATTGGATACAATTAACTTAGGCTTGAATAGAGACTGGGAGTGGCTTAGTCACTATGCAAGGTAGCCTATTTCCCCTTGTATTTTCCTCAGCGCCCCCCCCCCCCAGACATTCTTGTTAAACCCTGGATTTGTGCTGGAAATGGCCCACCTTGATTATCATACACATTGTAAGGAGAGTGGTCACTTTAGATAAGCTATTACCAGCAGGAGAGTGGGGTGGGAGGAGGTATTTTTTCATGCTTTGTGTGTATATAATATCTTCTAAACTTTCCACAGTATGCATCCAATGAAGTGAGCTGTAGCTATCTGAGCATAAGCTTTCAAGAAATTGGTTAGTCTCTAAGGTGCCACAAGTACTCATTTTCTGACTAGTAATTTTTATTTTTCAGGAGAACTTAATAAAGCAGGAGACAGAATACTGGTAGCTCGTGGAGGTATTGGTGGCTGTTTGGTTACAAATTTCTTGCCTTTGAAAGGCCAGATACAAACAATTCATCTTGATTTGAAACTTCTAGCAGATGTTGGCTTAGTTGGGTGAGTATTGGAGTCTGTTATCTGTGAGTTAAACATTTAGGAGTATAATTTTAAAGTAAAGCACTTCAAGTGAGGCGGGAAGGGGAATACATGCCTCTTTTAAAAAAACTCATGACCAAGTCTCAACCTATTACTTCATTTTTGTTGTTACAATGAGTTATCAGAATTGATTATTCATGGTTGGATGAATGCGGGGCCATTGGTCTGAATCCAGGTGAGGTTGATAATGATATCAGATGGCTGTTCAGTAATATATGTGAAATGAATTGGGAATCTCAAGCCAAGGCCTAGTGGACTGGTAGCTGTATTGCAAAAACTGCCATTACCATCCAAGTACTGGCACAAGTGGGTCTCCTTAATATTTATTCTTTGGCATTGCTGTTAAAACTAGATATGGAATCTGCTCTCTCAGGCCTGGTCTACACTGATTGGGGGGGGGGGAGGGAGGGGGGAATGGAAAATTGATCTAAGATATGCAACTTCATCTACGAGAATAGCGTAGCTGAAGTCGACGTATCTTAGACTTAGAATCACTTACTTCACATCCTCGCAGTGCGGGATCGACGGCCGCCGCTCCCCTGTCAACTCTGCTTCTGCCTCTCACTCTGGTGGAATTCCGGAGTCGATGACAGAGTGATCAGGGATTGATTTATCGCGTCTACATTAGACCCAATAAATCGATCCCCAATAGATCGATCACTACCCGCCGATCCGGTGGGTAGTGTAGATGTGGCCTCAGAAAAGCATCCTGGCATATTTTTAGGGGAGTATGGAAAACCTTGAACTATGGTCCTTCTGTTTCATTTGCATTTAGTCTGCATTTTCACTGCCACCGATAAAAGGAATACAAATTTGAATTGTTTTGTTTTTTTAGGAAATCTGAAGAAAAGCATCTAAGGCACTAAAACTATGCAAACACTGTTTATTAAGAACTCATTAGGTTTTTTTCCCTATACCTTATGGACAGTGAGTTACTCTTAAAGTTTTTTATGGATGCATAATGAGCAAAGTACTTGTAGATGGAAATGTGCAGATATGTTTACTTTGGATATTCAACAACTTGAGAATAAGGTTGATATTTTGCTAGCCATCTTCAGGGGTTATGTGATGTTACAAAACATGATCACTTGGCTCCAGTCCTGCAAACACTATCCATGTGAGTAATTTTACACAGGCAAGGAGTCATACTGAGCTTCATAAGATTCCTTATATGCATAATTCTTTGCAGAGTTTTATATGTGAAAAATGTAAATATTAGATGGTTTGGGCCACCTCATGAATCCAATACCTGTAGTTACTAATGCCACAAACCTTTTAAAATCTTCTTCTCATTACTTTTGTGAAGGTATAAGAAGCTGGTCTTTGTTTTAATATGTGGGACATAAAAATTCCCTGACAAATGATGCTTTGTGAATAACAGGAAGAAGAATATACATTGGGTAGTCTGCATCTGTGCCTCTTAATATTCATAGGCCATGTCTCTCTATATTGCAAAATATCAGGTGGCACAGTAACTTACAAATGTATTTAGGATGTGTGGCATTCAGGCACAAAAACTGAGGGAATGACTCATGGTAGGCTTTTTATTAAGATCTGAAGAGATGTCTCACTTTTTTTAATGTGAATTCTATTAAATGGATTTGCAGGGGGTGGGGGGGTACATATGTATAAAAATGAAGAAAAATTCCTGAACTATTAGACTCATCCTTTATGAGAGTACAACTGAAAGCATTTTTAAAAGCGTTTTTTCCTAGTTTGAACAATGAAAATGCACTCGTTAGTTTCACTTTAGTTTCTAATCTGAGGTCAGTTTCAGGCTGTCATGTATTAACACAGTGCTACAGTTTACTGTAGTGCAATACATTTGTTTAAACTGGCATAAGAATTGTAAAAAATAGTCCTAGATCTCTTGGTCTTAGGTCTCAGGTTTTGTAAAGGCTGGTGTGTTTTGGGTTTTTTTTGTTTTTACAAATCTTAAGTTTTGGCTCATATTTGAGCTGACAGGCTTTCATTAAAAGCATAGAATCATGATTGATGAAGATTGTTTCCTAGCCAAAATTGTGAGTCAACCTCTGATATCCTGTTAGTGCCTGTACTTTGATCTTTTCTTTGAGTATGTTGCTTTTACTTCAGCATATACATAAGTGCTTTGCTATTAGATCAGATCAAGAAATCTTATGGTCTTGAGGGAGGATCATCCGGTCTGGGTACAGATTGTGAGGTACAAGAGAGGTTGCAATTGAGCTTCAAAGAGAATATGTTGAGCCTTGATGGAAACAAAATACTTCCTTGAAGAAATGGAAGGCGTAACATTCCGAATTGTTTATATGGCTTCTTCTATCATCAGAGAGCATTAAATTCCTCCAATAACTTTCCTATTATAAAAGTCATTTTCTTCCATTATAAGGAATTAAGTCTTTAAAATGTCAGTTTTTTAATTAGTTGGTGTCCCTCTTGCTGTTTAACAGAGTTTGATTTTATTAATTTATGGTTAAATTCACAACATGGTGAATTCCTCAACCAATAATGCATTACAGGCAATAAAGGAAAATGCTTCTCTCTGTGGGCTAGCAGACTGCAAGACCATAGTCTCTTATTTTTAATTGCAGATCTATACTACCCCACCATAGATTCCTAACCTTCACACACTTTTGATCAGGTGACTTTTAATATCTATTTAGGAACTTATTTATCCTAGATCTAGTATTGTAGTGAAATATAGTGCCGTGTGATGGTCTGCAAATTTGACTTAAATCAAGGTCCCTTATGAACTCCTCCTTCTGTTGAGTGACTGGGAACTGTGTTCTGTTCCTGTGACCATGCCTGAGGTTGACTTTTTTTTTTTTTTGAGTAAGGCACCTAACTGTGTCTTGTAACTCCATTTAATCATGGGTAAAATGGGACAATAATACTTTTCTGATTAGACACTATACATTCAAAATGGTTATTTTGAAAAGGGTTATTTCTAGCTCTTTAAGTGTGGGTCTGTTCTGTAAAGTATGTAAGTAAAAATGGCACTGCCTGACTCAGAAGACCTGTTTGCTGTGCATGTTCAGTTGTTGCTGCTTTCTTATGTGAAAAAGGTTTGGGGAGCATGGGAGGCATTGCTATAGTCAACACCCTGCATAATCAGCTCAGATCTTGGAGCATGAGCTAAGTTTGTTTGTTTTGGGGTTTTTTTGTTGTTATGTTCTGGTACACTCCTCAATAATACTTATCCCTTATACAGCGCCTTTCATCAGTAGATCTCAAAACATTTCACAGTCTTTAACGGATGTATCCTCACAACACCCCTGGGACGTAAGAAAGTATTACCCGCCTTTGGGGGGGCGGGGGTAAGGTGCGCAGAATCTGTGACTTGCCCAAGATCACACTGGAAGTGTATAAAATTAACAGAATTGTTAATTTAGTTCCAATTTCATGACCACCTGTAGAACTGTTTTATCTTCAGATTGTGTACTTGGGTATATCTGTGCAACCGTGCAAAAGGCAGTAGTAGCAGAAGTGCAAATGAAGGTGGCATTTGGCTTGTAGAATCTTCTGTTACTGGAATGATACATGTACCAGAAACCAGGCTGAGTTTGCAAGGCTATCAGTTAGAAAAAATATCTTTTTACTTTTCAAATCGGCAGTCTGGTATAGAAATCGGACACAATAAACCTGGAACCTCATAATGCCTTTTTAACGAAGCCCCTTTGGAGAGCAGAATGTCACTTAAAGCTGTTACACATGAAGGTTCATCGCACTTCCAGATATTTTATGCTCAGACCTCAGGAGCACTGTTGAGTTTACAGGAAGGATAAGTTTGGTTAAAAGACTATTATGACACTGTCCAGTAAACTAAGTTTCACTGTAAATGAGTTCATCCCTGAAAACTTCAGAAAGTCTTTTAGTTTGTCTGCATTCTTATAAACAGTTGTAACGGTTTTCAAAATTGTGGGGAAAAAAGCAAGTTGTATAAAACATTTTATTGTCTGTATTACAGAAACCTAGAGATCCCAGCCAAGACTACAGTTACAAAATTTGTAGATGACAGTGCTGGGGGGTGGGTTGCAAGCACTTTAGAAAACCCGATGTAGAATTCAAAATGACCTTGATACACTGGAGAACTGGTCTGAAATCAACAAGATGAAACAACTTGAAAGAGACAAGATCAAAGTATTATCCTTAGGAAGGGGAAAAACTAAATGTGCAGATTCAAAACTGAGATTCACTGGCTAGCCAGTGAATCTCAAAGTGAATGAGTCAACAATGATGCTGTTGCAAAAAAAGGCAATGGGATATTAGCAGGAGTGTTCTACATAAAACACGGAAGTACTGGAACAGGTTGCTTAGGGAATCCCCATAGAATATCAGGGTTGGAAGGGACCTCAGGAGGTCATCTGGTCCACCCCCCTGCTCAAAGCAGGACCGATCCCCAATTAAATCATCCCAGCAAGGGCCCCGTCAAGCCTGACCTTAAAAACTTCTAAGGAAGGAGATTCCACCACCTCCCTAGGCAACGCATTCCAGTGTTTCACCAACCTCCTAGTGAAAAAGGTTTTCCTAATATCCAACCTAAATCTCCTCCCATCACTGGAGGGTTTTTAAGAACAGGTTAGATCAGGTGTGAGCAAACTTTTTGGCCTGAGAGCCACATCAGGATTCCAAAACTGTGTATGGAGGGCCAGGCAAGGAAGGCTGTGCCTCCCAAAAGAGCCTGGCCTCAGCCCCCTCCCACTTCCCAACCCCCCTGCTCCTTGTCCCCTGACCGCCTCTCTGACCCCACCCCCTATCCAACCCCTCCAGCCCCCTTACCATGCTGCTCAGAGCACCAGGACTGGCAGCCACGCTGCCATGCAGTCTAGAGCACCGGGGCGGGGCAGGCCAGCGGCTCTCACAGCTGCGCTGCCCAGCAGGAGCTCGCAGCCCCACTACCCAGAGTGCTGGCGGCACAGCGAGCTGAGGCTGTGGGGGAGAGGGAGACAGCAGGGGAGGGGCCGGAGGCTTGCCTCCCTGGCCGGGTGCTCAAGGACCAGGCAGGATGGTCCCGCAGGCCGTAGTTTGCCCACCTCTGGGTTAGACGATCACCCATCAGGGATGGTCTAGGAATACTTAATGCTGCCTCAGCGAAGGGGAATAGACTGGATCACATCTAGAGGCCACTTGCAGCACTACATTTCTATGATTTCTAAGATCAGGGCCCCAGTACACTAGGTGCTGTGCAAGTACATACTGACAGACAGTTCCTGCCCCCAAAGGGTTTAACAGCCTAAATAGTAAAGGAGTACTTGTGGCACCTTAGGGACTAACCAATTTATTTGAGCATAAGCTTTCGTGAGCTACAGCTCACTTCATAAATAGTATTGATTCTGGTGGGGTGGGGTGGGGGGGGGGAGATTGTCAGAAATGCAAAAAAATAATAGAATTATATCTTTGCCAGTATTTTGTTCATTTAACTCAATAGTAACGCATATGCAAGTGTGACATAAATAGTTATTCATTGTGTAAATCCCAACTTTCCTTCTAGATTTCCAAATGCAGGAAAATCCTCGTTGCTAAGCAAAATTTCTCATGCCAAACCTCAGATTGCGGATTATCCTTGTAAGTACAAACTGCATTATTTTTCATTGCTGGAACATTACTTGAGAACATAGGCCTTTCCTATGGCTTGGCTGAACAACTTTTAGAAAAGAACTGGAGAGTAGGAGCTGCCTACAGTTGCTACAGATGTTATTACCTATTAAATATTACTCTCTTCACCTTTATTTCAGTTCTTCCACAACTCATAAGACAGCAAGAAAGAGAGGTAGCTTCCCTTGAGCACCATTACTGGGGCTCTCTTTTCCTGTTACTTCTGTTTTCACATGTATCTTTTAAGTTCTGTGGCACAAAGTCTGAAGCATGATAGAAGCACTGAAGAGGCCACAACTACAGAGATTTGTTTTTAGTTGTTAGTTTTGTGAGCTCAGTGTCCTGCGGGAGACGAAAAGCAAAAATGGAAGCAGTAGCTGCTGTATGATCAACATGGTTAGGGGAGATAAAAGCAATGAGGGGAAAGTTAGTGGTGGTGGCAAATTTTCAGTGTGGCCTTAATTTTCAAAAGGGGTTTGGTTGATATTTACTAGGATTCATATCTGTTACATTATATCGTAGTACTTTCTGATGTAACTCCATAATGTCATTCATATAAATATATTATAATGGAAGTGTTCCAAACGAAGGCATGAGTAATTAGATCCAATACATAAGGAGAGGCATGAAGGTTTTATAATGTTAGTCACTTTTAATATACAGTGCTTTTTTTTTTTTTTTTTTTTCTTCTTATCCTGCCCATCCAGTCACAACAGTAAAACCTGAACTGGGAAAGATCATGTATCCAGATTACAAGCAGGTTGGTATTGAAAAGCAATTAAATTTGTTATACATTTGGGTATAATGGCTAGTTAGATTAATGTCATTACAGCCTTTCATCTTCTGCAATGGAGCTTAATCCCAAATCATGCTTTCAAATATATATTTTCTTTGCTTAAGGATGTTACTGCATTATTTTCTACGCCAATAGTTAATGGTGCAAAAATGGTGAAAGTAAAAGTGGTTCCCACTTCTGTTTCCCTTAACAGAAGGAACTAAGTTTCTGTAGTAACAGACTAATAGTTCTTCACCTAAATGTTGTTAGCTTTCTTCTCCACCTTTTTTGTTACTCATCTAACAAATGAGTTTCCCTAAGTTATTGAATATGGTGGTAATAAAAAATACAGAAGTAACCAGAATTTTGCATTTTACTGCCATGAAATGACTGAGAATTTAAATACTGCACTTCCTGTATAACTGTTTTCCTGGCAGCTGATATTAATAGGTCACTGTTAAAGGATTGGAAAAACTAAAATACATATTTTAGTAATTGATCACTTCGTGCCTGCTCAAAAAATTATCTTGGTTAATTTAATTTGAGCAAATATCTACTGTGTCTATTTTCTTGTTGCCTACTTTCAACGTAGCTTATATACAAATAGAATTAACTGATACAGTATGTTGGTGCTTTGAGGTTCACAAGTACTGTATCCTGCAAGGAGCTAAGAATTCCTGTGCGCCCCCCAACTCCCACTGAGTTCACAAGGGGGATGAGCACCTTGCAGGATCAAGCCCAAAATGCTACCCAAGGGGTATAAATAAATTTCATGATTTTTTTTTTTAATAGTAGAGTAAGTACCCAAGCATTATCTACAAAAACATGTTTTATATACACTGTCCCTTTCATCTCCTGCATATTTTGTTGTTTTTGTTTTTTTTGTTAGAGAAATACAGGGAAAGCAGAGAATTTTGATTTTTCAGATCAAACTATTGGGTTACAGGAAACACAAAACTGAAACAACCATGGAGCAAAAATTAAACAAAGTTTGTCTGGCTATATTCTTTGTTTTGTTCGCTATTTGTTTTTAAAGGATAATCTTATTTCTAATTAGTCCTAATACTTCATGTTTGTTCATGGAAATTGTTAGTTGATAAACAGCTAATTACTGGGAGATGGTAGTTTTAAACAGGAAATTAACTACAGTTGATTTTTAGTCCTTAGCATATTGGTTAAAATTGTTTATAAAATGGGCGTGATCAGGTAAATAAATCTGTCAGGCCCAGATTCTCAGGGTGTACAGACATGCATTTTACCTGCACAAATTTGGACTAACCTACCCGAACTGAAAATTCCATAAAATATCTGTACATCCCTGTAACTCTCCCAGTATTATGAATAGATAAGAACAAAAGTCTACCCTTTCATGGAGGCACACAAGCCTCCATAGGAATTGTGCACACATCTAAGGGCAAAATGTGTCCCTGAATTGGGAGATTAAATTGGCAACTTTAATAATTTCGAGAAGAAATCAAAACAAGATAGCCCTTTGCTGCAGATAACAGGGTAAAAGTTTTTTTAATCCTGCAAAGGAACTGATCTGCCAGGAATCAGTGGCACATCCTCTGCCAAGTGGATAATTACACATCCCTAGGGATGACATTTTTTTTCTACAGTCTGTCAATTATCAGATACCAGCAAGAGTTTCTCATTTGCTTGTACAAGCAATTTGTTTTATTTGATAAGGAGGAAATATAAAAGTGTCGTAGTGATATGCCAGCTCCAGCAAACTCCATCATACTAGAAAATAGATTTTCCCTGTACATTCAACTTCCATGGATTGTTTAGTAAATGTAGGTGAAACTGTATAGCCTTTTAATGTATTTCCATGTCTTTTTAGATGGAGAATCCTGAAGCAGGGTTTGACATATTTAGCAAACACCTACTAGCCAGAGGCCAGTATAAAGGTGAGTGGGGGTGGCGTTCACCAGCAAGATATTGAAGCAACATCTTGATAGAAAACTGAGTCATCAGTTGCTGGGAAAAGGCAAGGGTGCAGGGATTCCTACCAAGTACTGGCCCTGGGCTCTTGTCAGGTTTTCGTCCTTTATAACAGCCTCTGGTTTGTAGGTGTTGGATAGACTTGAAGCCCTTAGCACTTTTATTTTTCTAGATTTCTGAGAACAGGTAAATATATACAGCAGAACTCCATTTATCTGAACTAATTGGGACTGGGCCAAATCTGATAATCAAAAAGCAGAGAAAACTGGAGAATGGGAAAGTGCAGTGCTGCAGCACCATCTAGTGGCCAAAGGAGATCACTCCTTTTTGTACCTGTGTATGCTGGTTGTCCGGCTAACATGGACAGCTGGATAATGGAGGGTCAGATAAACAGTGTTCTACTGTAGGTGGATGAGCACTAGGATGACCAGATGTCCCGATTTTATAGGGACAGTCCCGATTTTGGGGTTTTTCTTATATAGCCTCCTATTTTATACACACACACACACACTCCCAATCCCTTGTCCCGATTTTTCACATTTGCTGTCTCGTCACCCTACTGAGCACCAGAAATGCTGCTTGAGGAGAACAGCAGAAACTTATAGCCCCTTATTTGTCTGCTAAAGCAGACTTCTGATGACAGGCTTTAAATGTTTTGCAGTTGCTTGTAAATATTGCCACTGAGATACTAAGGTCAGAAGGGACCATTATGATCATCTAGTCTGACCTCCTGCACAACGCAGGCCACAGAATCTCACCCACCCACTCCTGCGGAAAAACCTCTCACCTATGTCTGAGCTATTGAAGTCCTCAAATGGCAGTTTAAAGACTTCAAGGAGCAGAGAATCCTCCAGCAAGTGACCCATGCTACAGAGGAAGGCAAAAAACCTCCAGGGCCTCTTCCAATCTGCCTTGGAGGAAAATTCCTTCCCGACCCCAAATATGGCAATCAGCTAAACCCTGAGCATGTGGGCAAGATTCACCAGCCAGATACCCAGGAAAGAATTTTCTGTAGTAACTCAGATCCCACCCCATCTAACATCCCATCACAGGCTATTGGGCCTATTTACCATGAATATTTAAAGATCAATTAATTACCAAAATCCTGTTATCCCATCATACCATCTCCTCCATAAACTTATCGAGTTTAATCTTCAAGCCAGATAGGTCTTTTGCCCCACTGCTTCCCTTGGAAGGCTATTCCAAAATTTCACTCCTCTGATGGTTAGTCTAATTTCAAGTCTGACCTTCCCAATGACCAGTTTATATCCATTTGCTCTTGTGTCCACATTGGTACTGAGCTTAAATAATTCCTCTCCCTCTGGTATTTATCCCCCTGATCTATTTATAGAGAGCAATCATATCTCCCCTCAACCTTCTTTTAGTTAGGCTAAACAAGCCAAGCTCCTTGAGTCTCCTTTCATAAGGCAAGTTTTCCATTCTTCAGATCACCCCAGTACCCCTTCTCTGTACCTGTTCCAGTTTGAATTCATCCTTCTTAAACATGGGAGACCAGAACTGCACACAGTATTCCAGATGAGGTCTCACGAGTGCCTTGTATAATGGTACTAACACCTCCTTATCTCTACTGGAAATACCTCGCCTGACGCATCCCAAGGCCACATTCGTTTTTTTCATGGCCATATCGCATTGGCGGCTCATAATCATCCAATGATCAACCAATACTCCAAGGTCCTTCTCCTCCTCTGTTACTTCTAATTGATACGTCCCCAGTTTGTAACTAAAATTCTTGTTATTAATCCCTAAATGCATGACCTTACACTTCTCACTATTAAATTTCATCGTATTACTATTACTCCAATTTACAAGGTCATCCAAATCTTTCTGTATGATTTCACTTTCCTTCTCTACATTGGAAATACCTCCCAGCTTTGTATCATCTGCAAACTTTATTAGCACACTCCCACTTTTTGTGCCGATAACAATTCTCAGAAATAAGTAGCTACGAAATAAGATCCTCATAAAATAAGCATCCCCAGAATACTTTTCTGTTTGTTCTTGTTTGTAGTCATTTGAGGTGTTGATGTTATAATTACTTTACCATTTTTTTCTGACAAATTTTCATTTATCTTCCTAGATCTCAGTAGCAGATCTTCCAGGATTGATTGAGGGTGCACATGCAAACAAAGGAATGGGCCACAAATTCCTCAAGCATGTAGAAAGAACCAAACAGCTTCTCTTTGTAGTAAGTAAATATTATAATTTAAATAACCTGGTAACTTTAGTTTTTTATTCTGTTTAGCTTAGAATTTACTATCCTGTAAACCTAAATTCCTGAGATTTTATTGCCGCTGGCTTTGAGAAAACATTTCCTTCATAATTGTCATGTATTATTTTACTCTAGCCATGGTTATAAACAAATATAATATAGTATCTAAACTAGAAATCTAATAATATCCATCATTTTATGTTGATGAAGGCCATAGAGATACCTAAATAATCAGAGGGTTTTATAAAGATTGCCTGTTGCTCAACAGCATGAAAAGGTTCCTAGCACAGCTCGGACATTAGGTAGCCATTGTACAACAAGAGCCTCTTAAAACAGACCAAAAAGTCATTCTTGGGCCTGGATATCTTGAAAAATGGTAGTATTTGGGGGGTAGTTGTGTGTGTGATTTAACTTTATAATTCATTCTAGGTTGATATTTCTGGGTTTCGGCTATCTTCAAAAACTCGATTCAGAACAGCTTTTGAAACTATACTGCTTCTAATACAGGTAACTTCGCATCCCTTTAAATGTTGACTCTAATACTGTGTAGATGTGAGAAACAATAGCTAAAAGTGCGTGTAAGCTGACTGCTAGATTAGTAGACGGAGCTGCTGAGGATCCAGTGTGGTTAATCATTTTTACTAGCAATCTTAAAAGGCTGGGAACTTTCTAGATGTACTTAAGGCAGATGACAAAACTTTAGACATAGCTGTGTCCTCATTAACTTCTGCTGCATCTGTAAGGAGATGTGCGTGAAGGCCAAGCTGAGTGAAGAACCAGAGCTCTTCAGTCCCCAGATTTGGCTGCCTTTTAGGAAATGGAAAACAGGTCATCTGCTAACTCCCTGGCTTGAGCTCTGTCCAAACCATGAGGTAACTGAGGTTATGTGTATGCAACAGCAGCACAGCTATGGCATTAAAGCTCTGTAGATGTAGTGCCATAGCATAAATGCTTCCTACATCAACAGGAAGGGGTTTTTCCATTGATGTAGTTAGTCCACCTTTTGTAAGAGGTGGTAGCTAGGTCAACCGAAGAATTCTTCTGTTGACCAAGCTGCATCTACAGCAGGGCTAGACCAGCCTAACTGTGGTGCTCTAGGTGTGAAACTTATTTCACAGCCTTGAACACGTAAAGCTAGGTCAATCTAATTTTTAAGAGTAGACTAGGCCTGAGTCTTAGGAGCTTGATGAGATATCAGTCTTCAACTTCGCAAAACCCCATCGCCTTTTAGGGGCCACGTGCAGAGTCTCATGGCCTATCCTGCATTCTTCAGTTATCCCCACTGACTAAACTTAACTCCATCTTTAAAAATCTATTTTTCAATTGCTTCCCCCTCCCCTGTTCTGTGACTTCCAATATATTTTTTTTCCTGTTTCAGCTTATGCCAATGTACATTCCTGTGCTGTGTGATTCACAGTTAGGGATGATACCTTTTGATATATGCCATAGGAGAGATCTTGTCATTATAAAACTTAAGAATAAATTATACAACAATTCCAAACCCTAAAAATGTGGTTGCCCTAAGCTTTGTCTCAGAGATTGTCTTCATAGCACAGTTAGCTTGAGTTATAACTCAAGTGTTACCCCTAATTCCACTCCTTTTCTGTCACACAAATCTAGCTCAAGTTAAGAGGTGCTTTAAGCTCAAGCTAGCTGGTTTATTGCGGGGGTAGGTTGAAGTTTGAGTGATGCTCAAGCTAATAATGCAGTGGGAATGCAACAGCTCAATTACAGCAACTCATCCTATCACTCTGTAACTCCAGTGGGCTTGTCTACATGGTGCAGTAGTGTACACTAGAAGGGTGTGAATTCTAAAACGTACCAACATGTTGCACACTTACTGGCCTTTGTAGACCCTGCTTGTGCGCATAAGCAGGGTTTACATGGGTCAGTAAGCATGCAAAAAATTGGTGTGCTTAGAATTCACACCCTTTTAGTGTACACTACTGTACCATGTAGACAAGCCCATGAGTGCGGTAACTCGAGTGTATCAAATCAAGCTGTGAAGGTAAGCCCTGAGAGATTTCTGACCAGTTACATCAAGAAATTAGTAGATGCTTGTGTATGTTAATACAGATGTGACTAACCAGAACAAATCTGTCATTACACCTTACAAGAGATTGAATCACAAGGGTGCAGGCTGTGTACCAACAGTAAATGCATTTAAATGAGTCGACATTCTCAAACTGTGTGTGAATATATCAACATTGAGCACATCGGTAGATTTCAGTGCTGTAGTGAACACTGATTCTTCAGACAGTTAAACAAATGAAAGAGGAAAACATAATTCAAAACATTTTTTTCTACTTTTTAAAAATAAAATTTTACAAAGGCAAATTAACTTTGTTTTTAGGAAATAGAATTATACAAAGAGCAGCTTCGGAGAAAGCCTGCACTTCTTGCCATTAATAAAATGGATTTGCCTAATGCACAAGATAGCTTGAAAGAACTTATGAAACAACTACAGAATCCTCAAGGTAAACTAACCTAATGCACAGTAGCTTCTTATTTATAATAAGTAGATTGTAATTTACCTTTGTAAATATTTGTGGAAGTATCTGTTAGCTGATGATAAATATGTTAAACAATAGAATAAGCAGAGAGAGTCTTCATTTTTACCTAAAATTTATTTGGAAAGTTTGAGGCCCTCCCCTGTGTCCCTCTTTTTGGCTGCTTGCTCTGTATATTTTTAAACTCTAGATTCCTGACTGACTTTAGCCAGGAGATCTCAAGTATTACAAAAAGATGGGTATTCACTAAACATGCTGTATGAAAACTTCATTTATAAAAGAGTCGGCAGTTGTGGTTGCTAGAGGAGCCACACTGAGATTGTTCAATCAGGGCAAACTGCAAAGAATGGGGCAGACAAGCCTCAAAACTAGTGGTGGTTCTAATAATTAGATTCACAAAGCCAACAACAAAACAACTTTTACAATACCTTATTGGCTTCGTAAAAGCCCAAAACAAAGCTCCCTTAAAGCAGTCTAGCCCTGGGCTCCCACCCAAACAATCTAATCAAATATGGTGAGGATTACTTAAAATCTTTTTCACCATATCTAAAGTTCTACCAATCCCAAGAGATCAGACACATTACCCACAAGGTCAATGAATATTTCAGATCTTACCCAAATACATGCTTACAGCCAGTTCTTATTAACAAAACTAAGATTCTTTTTTTAAAAAAAAAAGTGATATTATGGTTTAAAAGACTTTACAGATATGAGTAAAGGTCTTAGGTCAGTTTCATAGTAGAGAGGGTGAGCTGCAGAAAGTTCTTTCATAATCCATTCCCTGGATTTATAATCCAATAGATAGTCCATGTACAGAGACTATAAATTCTTCCATGAGAAATAGCAGGGTAATCCAGACTGGCACAGGAGATCTCAGTCTTGCAACTCAAGCTTCCCTGATCAAGCTTAAGCAGATATGAGATGACTGGATCAGGCCCTAGAGTTCTTTTATAAATCTCCGGCAGGCTACTCTAGCCTCTTGACACAGATAACACAGTGGGCATTCCTTGGGTGAAGAATAGGTAATTACATGGTTGCTTTGAAGTCAATTCCTATTTCCTATGTATACACAGGTAATTTGGTTAGTTAATGGCCTTATGCTAATCAATGCAACTAAAGATTCATTAGTAGTTTACTACAAACTTCAAAGAGAAATATAGACAATGATATTATTTACACCCAAGTTTCATCTACATGTTAATATTCCATTTTGATCTCTGAATCAGTGGAACGTAGTAATAGACAGGAAGAGAAATTTAGCATCTGCAAGCTAATCTGGTAAGATATAGGTAAACACAGACACAATCAGTATCTTCTAATTCTCTAACCATATAAGTTTACATTTCAAAGCTCTAGTATATATATAACTTGGCTTTGTTAGCTGTTTATATGGAATGGCCCTAATTAGTGTGTGTGTGTATATATAATTTTCTAAAATGCCTTTAAAGGTGGAATTTGGGTCATTTAGCCTGCTGGTTGCTTAACTCCTTCTGGCTCAGTATCACACGAGGAAAGAAACATGCTCTTCTAAATCTCTTCAAGGTAACATCCTGGGTCCACTGATGTCAATGGCAAAACTCCCATTGACTTCATTGAAGTCAGGATTTCATCCTAAATCTGTTCAGGATGCAGTCATAACTTTGTCCAGTCAGCTGCTCTCTCAGTACTATAAACCCTACTATAAGAGTTTTAGCCCTGTTAGTTGGGACATACGTAGAATTGGGCAAAAGTACTAGTAAATACACAGTTGTGATAATTCTGGGTTGGCAAGGAGATGTTGGAAATTGAATGAAGCTTATTAGATCATCTAGTTAATCAATTATTTATTTAAAAGTGAAACTTAAAACTAGTCTGTTCCTATATTTAGGAGCCATATCCTGGTAGTGAATAATAGTGTCTGCTGGCTTTGCTCTTAGAGTAGACAAAAATCCCAGGACAGCAAGCCTGAAGCTGAGATCCTCCTCTGTGCCTAGTCCCTTTAGTCAGGGTATAAGGCTGGAGGAACAGCCTGGAAAATGCTTTAAAGTCTGCTTCCAGGTAGGGGAGAATTCCTCCAGCACAGGCACAGCAGAAGACAATAAGGTTGTCTTCTGAGGACCTCTTTCCAAGCCCCGTGGCACGGGGGTCATTGTCAGGAGCAGAGCCACAGTGCTGCAGAGATTCTGGGAAATCTTAGGGAGGCTGCTCTATCTTAGTTAGACCCCCCCCCCCCCCCGCCCCATGGCTGTCTGAGTTACAGAGGGGTTGCTCTAGCATCCTGGAGCAGATCAGAATTCAAGAAGGTTCACACACCTACCACCTCTGGGCTGAGAGTTCTGTGGTTGCCTCTGAGGGCTGCAGGCCATAATCTCAACCTAGGAGTGCAAGTGCACTAGAATGCAAAAATCAAACGGCTATTGCTAGTATTCCTGTTCTGAAACTCTTTAAATTTGGAATCTTTCAAAATTTGTGTTTAATTATTCCAGTCATTCATCTATCTTCTAAAATTCAGCTAAAGTCCCAATTTGGTAAAGTTCTATGGATTTATGGTATAAAGAAATACTGTGTAATAAGTATAAATATGCTCTGTTTCAGACTCTTTATGTTTAGTGGAGAAAGAGCTGATTCCAACTTGCACCATAGACTTCAAAGATATTATCCCTGTATCTGCACATACTGGAGAAGGAATAGAGGAACTAAAAACCTGTATACGGAAATCACTAGATGAAGAAGCAGAGAAGGAGAATGAAGAATATCAGAAAGAGAAACTTCGTATCTTACAGACTTCAGAAGTATAACATAATTAAAGGAGGAAATCAGTTCTTGGATATTGGATCAATCTTTATGAACATCTCAGTGGATGCTAAATTTGTGTTTGTCAAGAATACAGTCCTCGTGATATTGAACTCGACTTCATAGTTCTGACTCTATGCCACTATCAATTCAACCTTCTTGTTTTGAAAGCAAATCTGGAATCTTATCTGACACACATTGTAAGAACAGGGCAATTTAAGAAAACTGTCTAAATGTAAAATGAATAATATCATGCAGATGTACAGTGAATTTTCTAAGAAACAAATACATAGTCTTCTATACGAGTGGAATTTGTTTTTTGTTCTTAATCTTATAGGTGGTATTTATTACTTACCTACACACACACCAAAGCCTTAAAGGAGAGTGGTTGAAATTGGGATTTTGCTTGATAATAGACTGAGCATGTAAAATAGTGTATTGTCGTGAAGAACATGGTACATTGTAGAAGAGATTTTGATTTTTTTTCCTAAACTCTTTTAGCTTTTAAAAGACAAGTGTTAATATAATGACTACACTTATGTGGCCATCAACAAATTGCCCAAATAGTTTCCTATTTTTAGTCACTTTGACCATCTGTTTTGGAAGTAGAGATTGGCCAAACAAAAGTACTCACAGAACATCAAGTGCTAAATGGCTCTAATATCTTTCCTATAACCACAAGCATGTGGATCTTGTGTGTGTGTGCTCTAGGCTTCCATTTCTCCCCCACTGCATAAATTCTCTCTGATCCCTTCATGTAGGAGAGATAGGGAGATTGTTATGCTTTGGCTCTATACTGGCTACAGCCCTACTAGAGTGAAGAGCAACCTGGGTGCTGCTCTAAACCCAGCCAGCTGGTAAAAATCCCCCAGGGGCTGCCTGTTGTGCTTCTGTAGGAGTTGGGTAGGCTGGCTGTATTTCTGTTAGGCATTCTTTGCACCAGGGGAAACTTCCAACAGGGATGTGAGCATTCTCTAGTGCTTAGGGGCTGCAGCTGAGTGGAGCAGAGAATCTGGCCTGCACTCAACCAAATACAAAGTGATTATCTTATTAATAGTGCCCTACCAAATTCATGGTCCATTTTGATCAATTTCACAGCTACAGGGTTTTAAAATTGGCCAGTTTCACATTTTCAGTTGGTTTATGCCTGAAATTTCAAGGTGGTGTAATTGGGGCTCCCAACCCAATGGTGGGTCTGACTTTCTCTCTCTCCTGCCCCCCCTTCCCCTTATTGCCTAAGCTGCCAGGCAAGGCAAGGAAAAGTTCTGTCCCTTCCCAGCCCAGCAGCTTGCTGGGATGCTCCCAGCAGCAGGGGGATATCGAACCCACCTCCACAAGCCTCCTCCAGCTGCAGGAAGCTCCAGACCCAGAGGTTCTGGAGCTTCCTGCAGCAGGGGAAGGCACTCTGAGGTGAGTCTGATCTCTCCCCAAGTGCAAAAGCAGCCAGGTAGGGGAAGGACCAGTCCTGTTCCTCCCCAGCCCAGCGGGGACTTGCAGCTAGGAGCCCCGCTGCTGGGGTGCTCAGATTTCATGGGGAAGGGCTTATTTCATGGTCTGACATGTTTTTCATAGCTGTGAAATTGGTTGGGTCCCACTTATGAATTGGTAGAAATCTGAATGAGACATAGGGGAGAGAGGCTGATGTGGGGGCATAGAAGAGCATGGCATACTACAGAACTGTCATTCTTCATTTCTACTCTCACCTGCTGGGTTCTGCTATTCTCTCCTCACAGAAGTAGAGGAAAGCATGGGCTAGGACTATCTTTGTATTACAGAGGGGAAGAAGATTAAGTAAAAATGACCAAGATCACAAAAAGTCCCAACTCCACATTCCCTGTCTGAATTTTAAACACAGTTCCTCCTTTTACTTTAAAAGTGGGTAGGTCATGAATCTAAGCAGAGTGAGCATCCTCTCTCTTGGGAAAGAATTGCCTGTCAGAGGGGGGGTTGATTTCCAGGTTTTGTATAATGAATGAACATTAAATGTTACTAAAAAAGCAACTAGTACTCCTTCATTGTACAATATGTCCTCCACTTCAAAGATCCATTATAACGTTTCCAAAGGCAAAATTAATACTGGATTCATCAGACTTAATATTTTTATATACTAGTAAAATCCTCTGTAAATTTAAAAGCAGTTACTAGGAAGGAAGCCATAATTTGCTCATTGTTAGCCAATTCTTTTATCTTTTATACTGATGAACTTTTAATACTTGACACCAATTGCATTTCCTCATTACTTGGCTAAATCAATGTTTTCAATGGGAGCTGGACACTATGCAGGACAGACTCGCTGTCGCACTCACTTCACTGCAGGGTGCAGAATATTGTTTTACAAGCAGACCGGGGAGCTTGTTCAGACGTCACTGACTGGGCTGGACACAAGGGTGTGAATGATGACTGCTCAAAGCCATATTCTGGTTAGCCATTTAGACCTTATGTGTGATGTACAGTGGGATGTGACTGAGACCTTTAACACACAAATCCAACTGTTCGTCGTTTAATCACTGAGGAGGAAGGTGCTGCAAGGAGCATAATTAAAAATTGGATATTTAACCACCCCTGTAATTCAACCAATGGCAGCATTTATGGGAATCTCTCAGTGTAAGTGAAGGTTAATACAAGAACATCCATTGTTTTATTGAACCCACTAAGGAAGGGTAAAAGAATTTATTTTCTCTGGGTTTTAATTGACATTTTCAAATAAAGATCTTATGGCGTTTTTGGTATCCCTTCATCTTGATGCTAGTTTGGGTGTTACTTTTACAGGCAACTGGATTCCTTTAAAGTTTAAGTGCTACATAAGAAGTTTAAGCAGAAGCTGTAAATCATTTCTCAGTTCAGGTGTCTAAAGACTCTTACCAGCCTCTCCAGCCAGGTGGCATGGGAAGTGGTGGTTTCCCCTAGAAGTGTGGTCAGCCCATCATTTTTCCTTTCAGCATGAAGAAGGGGGAAACCAAAGAAGGGAGGAGACCTTGTGATAGCATGTTCAGGAGAGGGGATGCTGAAGGAATGTCTGTGCTACAGGGGCTACCCTGGCAGAGCTACAGTGCTGTAGCCATACTGACATAACCTGTGGTGTAAAGGCAGCCTAGGGTGACTGAAGGGGTTTTCTGTCAGTGTAGGAATGCCACCTCTCCAAGCAATGGCAGCCAAGTTGATGGAAGCATTCTTCTATTGATCTAGTTGCATCTACACTGGAAGTTAATATAGCATAGCTACATTGCTCAGTGTATCTTTCAAATCCCTGAGCAACATAACTATGTTGACCTGAATTTTAAATGTAGATCGGCCTGAGACATAGCAGGCCAATGTATTAGAGGATCCAGGCCTTCTTAATCCACCCCTAATGCAATCCTTGTCTCATGTTTCAGAGGAATTTGGAAACAGTCTAACAGTTTAACCTTCCCTTGTTTCTTCTTTTATTCCCTAATGCTAAATACAGATACAAGAAAGCCTTGGTGTTTGTATTCACCTGAAAAAATAAACTTCCCTTCTCTCTGAAACATGGAGAGAGAAACAGATTTTCAGTCTACACAAGGCAAGCTCAATAAGACCAAGGCACCACCTTGCTCACTTCCTCCTGCATTTCTTCTCCCATCAGATTTCCAGCATGTAGTGATGTTTTAGACTTACTGAATCTGCCCCATGCAAATTTAGGTAGACTACAAATGACCCACGGAGCCCTTATTGGACCTATTCCATAAAAAGCCATTTGCCTCCTGGATGACCTTGAGCAAGTAACTTCAGTTTGCTATGCCTCAGTTTCTCCATTTATAAAATCAGGACAATGATACTCTCTACTTTGTAAAATGCTTTGAAATCTAGTGATGAAAAGAGCTTTGTATTATTTATTATTATACAATTCCTGGAAGACAAACTACTGTAAACTTATTGGGGAAAAGCGGTGCCAACAATTCGCATGATTTTACTGTGAGTTTTGTGATATTTGTTGTGGGTATGGTGTTTTCTGTTTTGGTTTTGGGTTTTTTTTAAGCACTGGTTTCTGGAGTTATGGGATTATATGAGAATCTCAGCTTTTCTTTCTTTTACTTAAAAAAAAAATATTCTAGCCTAACTGTAGTTCTGGTGGAATGCTTGAAAACTTGGCCTTGTGGACTTCAGGTGCAAGGAAAATTTAAAAAAACAACCCAAAATGTATTAATTTTTACATTTAATGAGTTTTAAGCCAATCTCATAATTTTGGGAGTCCTAACTCATGATTTTTTATGTTGGGGGTTGGTGATACTGAAAAAGAACTCTGAGAAGTGCTTACAGTTATTTGTATAACTTTTGCTTACAAATGTGTTCCATTTTATCTCCGTGTATTTTGTGTGTGTGTGTCTGTCTGTTATTGTCCTTACCTATTAGCAAAAGATGGTGATTGACTGCAGGGCTTGATCACATTACACCACAGTGGCATAGCAGGAATAGGCTGTCGGAGCAGATTGTGAAGGATGTGGGATAGGAAATAGTTCCAAGAGGGAATCCTGGGAGTTGTAGTCTTGGAAACTGGGATAAATTCTACATCAGGGGAGAAGTAGGACTACAATCCCAGAAGACTTTGAGCATTTCTGGGGAAGGCCACGACTTCCTGAAAGGCTGAGAAAAAGGAAAAATAGGTACACCAGCCGCTCCTTAGTGTTTGCAAATAACGAGTTGCGTGCGTAGTAAGCGGGTATGTGTGATTAGCAGTGTTGTCGCTTTTCAGGCGTTTACCTATAATGTTTTTAAGCCTTTTCTATTCAGGATCGGGTGGATTTCAGTGTTTATAGCTAATGAAAAACCAGGATTGCATATCTGCAGGTGGTAGAGAAGCAGAATTGTAGTGATGATCCCTTTTTATTTATACCTTTATAGCATGAAATGAGAGCTTAGTTGCCTAGATTTCCTGACAGAACTGGGCTCTTTCCGTATTACTGGGTGTTCATGTTCAAACGTAATAAAAATGCGGTGGGGGGGGAAGGGGTTAATAATCAGACTGAAGTTGTTTTGATGATGATTATGTCCTGATTCACATTCTAACCCACGCAGTGCTGCCATTTGTAGGGGTTGGTCGTAGGCTGTTTAACAACAGTTCCTTCATCTTTTCATTAGTCACAAGAGGCACTTGCTTTTGCTGTTTGTATACTCTGAAATATGCTCGACTTTAGCCTGGGCTCTCGGTACTGCCATATTGCAAGATTCTAGGTTTCCTACTCTTGTTGACTTTTAGTTTGTAGCATAAATTGTTTTGGTAAATGAGATTATATCTCAAAAAGAAAAGGAGTACTTGTGGCACCTTAGAGACTAACCAATTTATAAG